GAACAATAGCTTCAAACACCAAAGTGAGAAAGCACAATTATCTTAGTCCACAATTAGCTGCTTAGATAGATAGATAGATAGATAGATAGATAGATAGATAGATAGATAGATAGATAGATAGGATGCCTTAGCGTAGAACACCGTTCGACAAACTCGACTATGGACTCGCTGATGCATAAGTACCATTAATCTTAAATTTAAGATAGACAGGCATATAAATAGATCCTTCCATCCATGGGCATTCACTAAATACCGTGACCAGATTTCAAATATGCAACTTTTCTTGCTAATTTTTATAAAGTCAACTTTGTTCAGAACTTGCGTGCTCAACGTTGAATCAGGGTTAGCGAGTTAGTCGATTGATCATTACAAGGGAATAACAAATTTACTCCACATTGTGTAAATCATACTTTAAAAAATCAACATTGCACCCGATGTAAACTCTGAGGTTTGATGTGGTATGTATTGGCATTAAAAATTAGATACATCATTTTTACTATTTTTTGAGCATTTTATTTTAAAATCGCGTGAAAAATATACTGAAATAACTAATTTCTTTGTTTTTGCATGCAAAGTTCAACATTTTCCATTTCGTGAATAAATCCAAATAAAGTTAATATATTTTGCAATAGATACATTGAAATGAAAATATATTCAAACCAGAATTCTAATTTTGAATCACCACAAGAGAAATGCATTTTTTTACTGTAAGTAAAAACTGTAAAAGACTACAAAAAGCCAACTCAATTAAGATTTGTTAGATCATTTTTTAGATCATAATTAATAAAAAACAAAATATAAATAGAGAAAAGTGTACATAACACCATAATGCTTCTGGGCACATTATCACACAAAATGTTTTAAATTTGCATTTCTTATTGAAATTAACTCTAAAACTACGACACTGTATAACGTCATAATTTAGCTAAGTTGTTCAACATGATCTCCATTTAAAGTAAATGGAGGTCTTATTTGATGGCACAATGATTTACTAATAATGCGCTTTTGTCATGTATCTTGTGCATATACCTTTTATAAAGCTTCATTAAATTATAAATTTTAAAAGCTTGTGCTATAAGGTTTTTACCGGAATGAAATTCCAATGGTACGATTTTGAACCGAAACTTAATCTTTAAATTCATTTCCTAAAGAAACGGTAACGATTTAGAAAAGAAATGTTTTGTATTGTTATTTATCATGTCAAACCTTAACTTTCAAACTGAGTGCAATATTACGCTTCTAAAATCACCCTGCCTTACTCTACATGGTAAAGCAACGAGGGAATGATAGTCTCTGTGATTCCAACTGTTGTAGCTGTACTTTTCATATTGCAATAACAGGGGAGGATCATCGGATTTTGATGCCAGACTGACAGGAGGTTGTACAGACTAAGTAATGTTTTCACCTTGGTGCACATGTACGCATCGAACCAATCACCTATCGAGTCTTACCATTGTGATGGCAGGGCAAGTCTTCTGTGCGCTTCAGGATGCAAATGATCAAGGCACTCCACAAATTCATTTCCTTCGTAGCTTTAAGAAATATCTTCTTAATACCCTACCTACCCTCTGTTTCAGCATCAGTTTAGACTCGTTAGGTTGATTAAACTTTGTTTCCCTTTGTTAAACTTGCCGTCAATATGTCCGCAGAGTGTTAAATTTTCCAAGCCCTCTTTCCTTATTATGTGTCCTAAAAATTTCAACTGGCACTTTCTGGTTGTATGTATATATATATATATATATATATATATATATATATGGGGGGTATGTGTATACATTTATATATATATATATATATATATATATATATATATATATATATATATATATATATATATATATAATAAAAAGGCTTAAACACTAATATTCCATGGTCATAATTTATTCCATTGGAATCGTAAATACGAACCAAATCATCAGACCTACTAATTCAAAAAAAAAAAAAATTATCCTTACTCTGTCCTAGACATTGAGTTCTACCTGGATCCTTCCTCTTGGAAAATTTTTTTCTGAAAATATACATGTATGGGTATTTTTTTATATATATTTTGCATATGTATGTATATTTTCCACTAATATTATCTATCTATATATATATATATATAGTTATCCACAGACAGACTGTTTCACAGCTCCTCAGACGTCCGATCGCTTCAAACTGGGATCGAAACGCGACTGATTTGATATCAGTCAAATATCTTACCTCTAGGCCACTGTCGTAGAAAGTAAGGGAGCGTTAACGTTTTTCTCTATACGAAATACGCCAGCGGCTCGAAGAACTCAATTCATACTTGAAAAGTAATGATATATATATATATATATATATATATATATATATATATATATATATATATATATATATATATATATATATATATATATATATATATATATATAATTTTTATTTCGGTTTTAATAAAACCTCCTCATTACACACATGCTCAGTCCATGGTATTCTTCGCATACTTCTGTAGAGCATTTATTTCCACATTAGACCACTGATATCACATGACAATCCACTACACTTTTCTTTGATTCTGAAGAAATTTTCTTGCTTATTACCATTTTCTTCAGCTATTGCTATCAATAAGGAAGTGAAATACATTTTGACAACAGACAAATATTTGTTCACTATTCGTATTGTTTTGAACACAGTTTAGAGAAGTAAAAAGAAAGAGTTTAAACACGGAGAAAAATCAACTTTTCTTTTGTTTATTAGTTTATTGGACACCTGTTTTATGGGACGGCTTCAGATGTTCAAATACTTTAATGGAGAAATTGTTTTCCTCCTCTAGGGTAAAATAATTTACCAAGTTTTAAAATGAAGTATAAGATTATGGTGGCAATAAATAGATTGTGAGACAGATTGTCTTTCTGCCCTCAAGATGAGACTCTCACTTAAAACACGGCCTTATAACATGTGAATGTTGATGCTCAGATAAATACACTTATGCAATCAGCAGCTGGCATAATGAAAAAAGCCTAGTATTCAAAAACAATGAAGAAAGCAACGGGAAACCACTCCGCTAACTTTCCAAAGTCATATAAATGAGAACAGAGTCGATTTATCGATTCACTATTCCATTAGTAAGAAAGAACTTCTATACATCTCGAGAACTGCTTCATTATGAAATAGACTCTTGAGAGTATGCTTCTCTGATCACTGCAATCTTAACCTTCACGTCTAGAGTCAAGTTTTATCTATCTTATATGGTTTTTTAACCATTTAACCCCAGACAAGGCGATGGTGCCACTAAGACGCAAGTGGCTGCTGGGATTGAAAGAAAATGAGAAGACTTTAGAAGGAACCGGAAACCCAATCCTAAACAGGAAATAAAAGATAACTCTCTAGTGACTTCTTGTATTGGGTGAGTAATAATAATAATAATAATAATAATAATAATAATAATAATAATAATCACAAACAAAATCGGTGCCTCCTTATTGATATGGCAGTCCCTGCCGACTGCAATGTATCTTTGAAGATATTCAAAAAGTTGTCAAAGTACAAGGACCTTGAAATAGAAATCTCGAAAATGTGGCATATGGGAACATCAACAATCCCTGTTGTAGTTGGAGCTCTAGGACTGGTTGGAAAAGATTCCAGTAGACTAATTGAAGGGATTCCTGGAAGTCCATGCCTCAAGGAGATACAGAAAATTGTTCTGACAAGTACAACCCACACCTTACGAAGGGCTTTATCTATGTAATCTTTTTTTTTTTTTTTTGTCAGTGGAAAGTGTCATGACGCCATTTCTAAACTTAGGTCCCTGGGCGGGACCCGGAAAGAAATGTGTAAACGCCAGAAATCAAAGAAAATAAAAATAACAATAATAATAATAATGAAAAAAGAATTTTACAGATAATGAATAAAAAAGAGACAGTGAAACGTCATTTTCTCCTATTTTCTCCTGAAGATATATGGAATTTCTTTTTTTTTAATTTAGTTAGCTTTTATTTATTTATCATGCCAACTACCTTAATTAGGTCTTTTTTATTTATAGTTATACTATAGAACATACTCCGATCGTCAGTGAATCTCTATGCTGATGATACTATGGTATATGGGTGAAACTGCACTGACATAGCCCTAACAGCTCAAGAGGGGGAAATTGGCTAGACATATTCAGTAACTTGATAAGCAAACCAGTAACCACATCACGAACTCGCTCTGAAGTTTCGACTATCGAGATGAAAGTGTATTCCTTCAGAGGGGGTCTTTCTTGAATGCCTATCGGGACAAGCTCACCCCATATCTCAAGTGGAACTCGTATATACGACCCATCGCTACAGATACTGGAAAAAATTAGGGTTCGCTGGAGAATCCTTCTTACCAAAGCTTCTCTGTGCCTTTACTATAGATACATTCATGGTAATTATTCTGAACTGCTATGGTGCTTAGACTTTATAAATTGAGCCCAGTACTGGATTGGCAGTAAGGTCTCTTTATTTAACAATTCAAATAGCTACATGTAACTGGAAGTTCTATGCTGACAGTTTCTGCTATCGCACATCTCGCTTGTGGAACTCTCTTCCGGCTTCTTACTTTCCAGTCAACTTTGATCTTTAAAAATTGAAATACAATGTCAATCGTTATTTTCTGTCTTCTTAATTCTTGTTTGTTCAATTGTCCTCTCTCTCCCTGATACTAGTTTTTCTCCTATTATATAACACTAAGTATCCATTGTGTCTTAGTGGCTTTATTGCCCTGCTTATGGTGATACGAGTAAAAAAAAGGAATACTTACAGAATACAGAATGTGGATTTAGCAAAACCTTTCTTGGCTGTAAATGTCTGGAGGTATTGACGACCTAAATCAACCCGTACATTTTTTTTACTTTACAAATGTGTAAGCAAACACAAAAACAAGAAAAACAACAAGAAGCAACACAAAACAGTTTTATAACAACAACAAGATTTATATTTATAAAATGATGTACAAGCAAAGAGATTACTGTATTTGTTGGTGTTATGTCCCTTTGACTGAATTAAAATTTTTACTAATGAAATATTTTTATCCAAGCTCACAAAAGTTGAATGAACTTGTCACTCAAAATGTTCGCTGTTAGAGAGTTGAAAGAATTATAAAGTTGAGAATATGTTGAATAAACTTTTCGCTTTAGAAGAGTTGAATGTTCCGTAATGCTTGTAATTGTGTTTCTATTGCTTGTAGTTGAATATTCGTAGTTTGAAATGAAGTTTGAAAAGTGAATTATGATATGACCAGAATCAGCCATTTTTATCGATTAAAAACATCATTCCTATCAATTTAAAATCGTTTCAAAATATATCAAGTTATTTTGCTTATTGGAAATGTTACATTTAATCTTTTAGCTTTGAAATAAAACTAAAATATAAGTCTCAAGACAGATTTTTAGTTTTTAAAAAAAATCATTTTAAACCTTAATCGCTTTGATTTGAAAGTATTTAATTCGAACTTATTTCTAATTATTTTTAACGTTTTTGGTTATTTAGTAGGTATATATTGGTAACCTTACGCTTTGGGTATAAGAGTATTTTTTCTTGATAGAAAAAGGGGATTCAGCTTCGGTTCCTGTCGGGAGGGACATATTTCTTCTGAATCTAGGCCGGTTGATATTAATGTCATATTGTAAGAAGATGAAACAAGAAGGGGTTGTCAATTGAAACACTAGATACTAAAATATCTTTTATATTAACAAATATGTGTATATTTGTTGTGTGTGTGTGTGTGTGTGTGTGTGTGTGTGTGTGTGTGTGTGTGTGTGTGTGTGTGTATCGTGTGAGGATCAGGACATACTATCCATGTTTACCAAAAGTATTGGTATTAAATTTTTTTTTTTATCATTTAATCAGCGTATCCATTTCATTAATCCATCTCATAGATAAAAATGGCGCCACAAAAAAGGGTAATTTATGTAGAACGTCAATAAATGATTTCGGGAAGAATAATGTTCTCTGCTTAAATCAAAAGCTATCTACTTATTTCTGTACACGTGAGAAGAATTTACCAAATATATGACTGCAATCAAAACGAGGTTTTCTCTCTTATAATTAAGTAAGAATGTCGGATATTTTTCCTAATGGGTGAAACTCTTAAGGTGAAGTTCGATGAGATATTGACAAATCGTGCGAATTTAGAACAGAATTGAGATTATTCAGTGGTGAAAATTGCTTGCCTACTGATTAAAAATAGATTATTTTATTTTGAAATACAGCGGCAGACAAACTCATCATTAAAAATATCGCATTAAAAAAGAAACTGGTGCATTTCCAATGTTTCAGAAGTGTATATCGAAAATCGATCCTGTTGTAAGAGACCTTTCATCGATACACACAAACACACAGACACACACAAACATATATATATATGCATGTATATGTGTGTTGTATATATATATATATATATATATATATATATATAATTTCAAAATATTTAAATAAATCTGTTCAAAACAGTGTATACAAAGCAACAAAATTAGAACGAAATATACATGTGGTGATTTTCTAAGCGTAGCCTAGATATGGCACAAGGTCGAAAGTATGGGGCACTCAGTGAGGAAAGAAATCACTATTCAGTTGTAAATGTACTAGTGAGTGAGACAAGCTTGCTAAACACCAGGTCGAAGAGATAATATATATATATATATATATATATATATAGAGAGAGAGAGAGAGAGAGAGAGAGAGAGCGAGAGAGAGAGAGAGAGAGAAAGTGAGCGAGAGAGAGAGAGAGAGAGAGAGAGAGAGGTGGGTAAATCAAATAATTAGATATTAGCAACCGTAGTAGCGTGCATACACAGACAAGCAAATAAATATTTAGTAAATTTACTTTAAGGTGTAAACAAAATAGTACTTAATGTGGTTAGACAGACCTAATATATTAATAAATATACATATATTTATTAATGTATATATATATATATATATATATATATAGATAGATAGATAGATAGATAGATAGATAGATAGTCGATTCGTCAGAAAGGTGACTACTTGATGTTATTGGTCTGAAGGAAAGTGCCTTGTGAGTGAAATTAGGTACACGGAAACCATGGGGACCGTCAATTTTTGTGCGAGCATGACATCATAAGTCATCGTGACCGAGGTTTTAAGCATGATGGCCTTACTCATATTGTTGATCCCGCTAGAGGTCGCGCTTTCTCCCTGAAACTGTAACTAAGGTACGCTTAGTATAGTTGCAGTATTAGTATTAGCCACATGTGGGCTCCGTCGCATGCAACAGGAATTAGCAAACCGTCCTAGTAGAGAGGTATTCCCGAATACTATATATATATATATATATATATATATATATATATATAATTATTTATTCGAAAATTATAACATAAATATGTTATAAAATCACTACAAAAATAGGCATTTCGTTTCAACACTTCTGGTGTCTTATCAAGTGTATATATATATATATATATATATATATATATATATATAGATAGATAGATAGATAGATAGATAGAGATAGATAGATATATATATAGGTTATTAAATATGTAAGATATATGTGTGCATGTGTGGGTCAATTCTTCCCCTCGATTTGACGGGTTTAACTAAGTTGCGGGGGCGTATTTCAATTTTCAAAATTTTGGTAAGCGTATCCACCGTTTGAGAGGCAAGTGTATATATTTAGTTTTGGGCAGAGAAGCTGAAAGAAAAGAAAATTTATTAATCGAAATAAGAACCTTCAGAATGTACGTATTGTTGCCAACAATAAACAAGTCTATTTATTCTGGTAGCATGGAATTCTGCCATCCTGAAACTGCCGAATTCTTCGAAGACATTTTGATCCGTTGCTTGTGAGTCGAAGTCTATTAATTGCAGGAAATTATTGAGATATTAGTGAAAAAAGTAAAAAAACAAATGTTAGTCAATCGGAGAAATATCCGGTACAGTGTATGCGGCAGACTTCCGTGGCAGAGTTCGTTTAATTACACCCCGGACCATTTGCGAGACGGGCGTTGTCATGGAGAAGAACTGGCTCATTTCAATTGACCAATGCTGCGTGTAGTTCTTGAATTTTGCCGATTTCCTTGACAAAAATTCTCTGCTTGGATGAATTCCCGCCCCCGCCAAAAAAAAAAAAATGGAGAAGTTTTAGTGAACGTTTCCACTACTAACAAATGACCATAAATTTAATTATCTGTTCGACCACTATCAATCAAAATTAGTACACAATCTCTGAATCGTTTGGAATCCATTTTCTGTCTCTTATCACAATGCGACAAAGATATGGATAAAAAAAAGCAGATTTTCTAACGACTTTTTTAAAACTTTTCAGTCAGCTCGTGTGGTAGCCAGTGACGAGGATTTTCTTGATTTTCCAATTTGATACAAATGTCGAACTTTTACGGAATGATCAGTGTTTATTTCGTCATTCTTTTGTGTTGTTTCGGTGGAGGGGGGGTCTGCCTTCATAATAGCCCTCATTTGGTTGTCGTCAGTCGTAGAAGATCGTTAGGAAGTCTCCACGTCTTCAAGGAGTTTATCTCCGCTGCGAAATGGAGGGTACCAATCCAGAGACCAAATGAAGCAAGATACCCGGCTTTACCATGAGAGGGTCTTACATTAGAGATCGCCTTCACCTAGATATTTTTTTTCGGCCAAATAAATCTTCAAAAAAAAAAAAAACAAGGGGTGTATTGGATTTTTTCTCCAAGATGGATTGCCTTCTCTTTGGTTCAAGAGCACCATCTACACACCATAATATATATATATATATATATATATATATATATATATATATATATATATATATATATATATGAAGAAATATAGACTTAAGATGCGCGATATTTATGGGATAAAGTTCTCAATATCAGATAGAGCATGTGTAAATATAAAGGAAACATAGAAGTCAACATTTAAAGGCGACAGGCTGTTTCATGCTAGATGCTAGATGCAATCGTCATGCCACGAGGGCATCTAGCATGAAACAGACTGTCACCACTAAGTGTTGATTTCTATGTTCACTTTTATATATATATATATATATATATATATATATATATATATATATATAATTATAAAAATTCAATAATATAATTAAATTAAAAACATTAGTTCTATTTTCTCTTCAAGCGAGTTTTTTTTTTAAGTTGAGACAGAACTAATGCTTTTGATTTAATTATATAATGGAATTTGATTTAATTATATAAGTGAATTTGAAGTTTTTAGTTTCTGTTTTGGAAACATGGTAATTCCTGTGTAGCGATGAATCCATATTTTTAAATCAGTTAACTTATCATATTTATGCTATGTAAATTTACATTGAGCACTGTGTTGTAAAAATGAAAATCTCAATAAGAACACCGGATTATATATCTTACTGTTCTTTCTATTTTTACTATTTTATATATATATATATATATATATATATATATATATATATATATATATATATATATATATATATATATATATATATATTATTATTATTATTATTATTATTATTATTATTATTAAAATGATGATGATGTTTAAATGAATAAAACGTAGATTTCACATTTTCGTGAATTTTATTACTAGTTGGAGTTAAAGTTTTACCTATAAAAGTTCCTCTACTTTTCCTTACACTAATATACAAACTTCTTTTTTCTTCTCACACTTCTCTCTCTTCAATAGCATAAACCTCTATCATCCAATCAACACCAAATATTTAAGGTCAAATTAAAAACTCTACTTCATTTTATTTTTTTATCTCAATGCCTCGCTTATTATCAACTTGTCTGGCTGAATTTGTATCATTTAATAAAATGTAGTTGTTCTGATGTGATGAGGCAGGTATATATATATATATATGTATATATATATATATATATATATATATATATATATATATATATATATATATACGGGGTGTGTATAACTGTTGACATAAATTTATAACCCATTATATAATGAATAATTAACCTTATATTTTTATTTATTTATTTATATTGCACTATATATAAATTTATAGATTGAGCTCTCATTAAGTTTTTAACTTTTTTAATATTTTTATATTAAAAAAGACCTCCTACGAATAATCCTTAACACCTACAGATTTGGTATGATAGATAGATAGATAGATAGATAGATAGATAGATAGATACATAGATAGATAGATAGATAGATAGATAGATAGATAGATAGATAGATAGATAGATAGATAGATAGATAGATAGATAGATAGATAGATGTGCAGAAATATAGTTTTAAAGTATGCTATATTTATGGTAGAACGTGCTCAATATCAGAGATAGACCATATATAAATATAAAAGGGAACATTGAAGTCAACAATCAGAGGCGACAGGCTGTGTCATGCTAGACGCAATCGTCCGGCCTGACGATAGATAGATAGATAGATAGATAGATAGATAGATAGATAGATAGATAGATAGATAGAAAGAAAAAACTAGCATAGAAAGAAAGAAAGAAAGAAAGAAAGAAAGAAAGAAAGAAAAAGACTGGCATAGATAGATAGATAGATAGATAGATAGATAGATAGATAGATAGATAGATAGATAGATTGAAAAAGAGAAGCATAGAAGGAAAGAAAGAAAGAAAAAAAAAGTAAGACAGGCATAGATAGATAGATAGATAGATAGATAGATAGATAGATAGATAGATAGATAGAAAAAGACTAGAATAGAAAGAAAGAAAGAAAGAAAGAAAAAAAGAAAAAGACAGGCATAGATAGATAGATAGATAGATAGATAGATAGATAGATAGATAGATAGATAGAAAAAGACTAGAATCGAAAGAAAGAATAAGAAAGAAAGAAAGAAAGAAAGAAAGAAAAAAAGAAAGAAAGAATGAAAGAAAGAAAGAAAAAAACAGGCATAGATAGATAGATAGATAGAATAGAAAGAAAGAATGAGAAAGAAAGAAAGAAAGAAAGAAAGAAAGAAAGAAAGAAAAAAACTGGCATAGATAGATAGATAGATAGATAGATAGATAGATAGATAGATATTATGAGAGGTATATAGATTGTAACTTTCACCATCCTTCTCTTTCTACCACTATCTATTTTTCTATTCGCGTTCACATCTTACTTTCCGTTGTTTCAATGTACGTTTGAAAGATGCTCGATACCTTTGTGCAAATCGTTCCAAATTAAATATTTCCCCACTTCCACAGACTTTTCTGGCACTTTACCACTTGGAATATGCAAACAAAACAAAGGAAAACAAGAGATAAGAATAAATAGAGGCTAAAAAAGAAACTAGATGAGAGAACGCTCTTATCTACAGTTTATTTACCGGAAGGAAAGTGCATTTTCGCTGAAAATAAATTATTTTCCTCAATTATCCGTGGCTTTTTATCCATTCTATGTATTTTTATTAATTCAGTTTTGGATTAAACTTACTATTGTTCGTTGTCCGTTTATAACTGTGATTTTGATTTCATTTCTACTTTAATTTTCATATAGACTTCTGAATTGTGGTTTCTGTAGAAACGTATGGCTATATATTACATTTTGACTGAAATTGGAATAAAACCATTTTCTCAAATCAAAGATCGTCTACAATATGCATTTACTAAACAAAGATACGCTTGGTAAAGGTATATTGTCGTGGTAAAAGACTGTAGGCCTGGCTTCTTACTCTCCTGTTAACTAAACATGTAAAAGCAACCACAGACGTCATCTTTTTCCTTGAACCTGTTCTTTTATTATCTTTTCTCCATAATAAAGTGTTTCTCTGATTCTTTCACTCCCAGTGTGACGGTTACACACCTGGCCCAGGGTCGGATCCTTTGGTTACGGCGCCAACGGTGACGTCGCTCCTCTGGTCGCTCCTCCTGGGTCCAAGCGTGCCGCTCGTCCCCCCTTGGTCAGATGATCACCAGCCTCGCCTTTCCCGACTCGCTTCAATACCTGGTCACTAAAAGCAACTGTACCGATCTCGGTCTGTCTACCCACGCTGTGTTTAGATCTTAGACAGGCGAGGCTGGTGATCATCTGACCAAGGGGTTGGAGCGGCACGCTTGAACCCAGGAGGAGCGACCAGGAGGGTTGACGTCACCGTTGGCGCTGCAACCAAAGGATCCGACCCCTGGGCCAGGTGTGTAACCGTCACAAGTGGTGCCGTGACCAGATTGGAAGCGAGTCGGGAAAGGCGAGGCTGGTGATCATCTGACCAAGGGGTTGGAGCGGCACGCTTGGACCCAGGAGGAGCGACCAGGAGGAGCGACGTCACCGTTGGCGCCGTAACCAAAGGATCCGACCCTGGGCCAGGTGTGTAACCGTCACAAAGTGGTGCCGTGACCAACGGATCAACCCTGAGACAGCCACGTCACATATGGTGCCGTGGTGACCGAGGATTTCAACCCTGAGAAGACCACGATCGACCGCCGTTGCTGAAAATTCAGACAGAACTCAGAACGACCCAGGACCAAAGGAAAAGAAAGAACAGAATCGTCTGTAAGGTAGGACACCTTGTTTTGTTTCCCAACCTCGATTGTTGCTGTATAGACTGTCTTTCTCTGTAGACATGTCAGATTATGATTCGGATAGAGCAGTGGGGGTGAAGAAGAAGTAGAGCGGGGGTTGTCAGTGGATCTAAGGAAGCTGTTGGGTGGACCGAGGGTCCCAGTATTTGATGGCAGCAGGAAGGAGTTTAAAAACTGGCTGGCAATCCTCGAGAAGAGCCGAACCATCTACGAGCTCTCGGACCAAGAAAACCCTGTATTTGGCATACGATGCCACAAAGGGAAAAGCGTCTGAGTTCGTGAGGGGGCTCTTGGAGAACCAACCCCGCTTGGCTTGGGAAGAAATAAAAGACTACTGACCAAAGAATTCGCCGACGAAGGTACGGCCATAGAGGCCATGAGGGCCCTTTTAATCTGACACAGCTGGGATGAGACCCCGGGAGAATTGGGGCCCGAGCGGGGAAGCTATCGTCGTTGGCATTCCCGAAGTGGTCAGGGTTAATGCGGTTATGCAAGCTCAACTGGCGGACCTGTATGTAGAGGCGCTGAGCGACGAGCGTGTTCGTCACGACGTATTGAAAGAAGGACCGCTCAGACTGTCGGCAGCGATAGAGCTGGCCAGGGAGAGCCAGGGGTGTGGGATAAAGTGAAGAGGTGTGGGAAGAAGCAGATACCAAGTCAAGAGGCTGGAAGAAGGGGTAGGCGGAAGAACCCCCGTGTGGAATCAGAGGGTTAAGGAAGAGGTGGATCGGGCAGAATTATGGGAGGAGGACCCCAATAGAAGGGCATGGTCGACCAGGCATGGCTTTATAAGCCCACGCCGGGTCGATACGGGCTGGTCTGCTGGACCTGTGGGCATGAGGACCACAGGGCGGCGGAATGTCCGACGAAGTGGGGGTTGCCCCAGACTTCAATCAGGACAGATGCACCAGGTGTGGTAAGAAAGGACACCTGGCCAAGTGGTGCGGGCTGAGGAAGGGTGCCCCACCGATATTAACAAAGAAGGCTGAGCCCAAGAGACCGGCCCAGGGAAAGCCAGCGGGCCACCCCAGAATTAAGAGGAGGGTGGCCCAGTTAAAAAAGGAGAGAAATAAAAAATTGGACCAGTGGGTGGGCGAACTGCTTGAATAGAGGACGGTTCCCCTGAGGATAGACACAAGGCCAAGTTAGTTAAAAGGGAAAGAGCAAAATGTTGGACATGTGGTCAGGCGGGCCACTTTGCGGCAAGCTGTCCAACAAGAAGGTGCTGGTATTGCAGGAGGCCAGGACACCTGAAAAGAAACTGTATTTTTAGAAACGGCCATGGGAGACCAGGAGAGGTCCGGCCGGGGTCGCCCAGGTGCAGGGGGCGCAGAACTCCACCTCATGAAAAAAAAAATGAAGGTGATTTATTACTACCGGCGCCTATGGCTGGGTTAACCCAAGGGTGGGAACCCAGGAAGAGGAAAGCTCAGGTGTTCTCTTCGCTAACAAGAGAGAGAACTATCCTGTAGAGCAGAGATAGGTGGTAGAGAGATGAGGGCTTTGGTGGACACAGGAGCATCTGTGTCATTGATGAGAGAGGAGACATACAGGCGGGTGAAACGGAAGAGAAGGTTACGGGAAGCGGACATAGAGATCACGCAAGCAGATGGGGCCCCCTGGAGATAAAAGGGATGGTGAGGCTCCCGGTGAGGATTGGGAGGGTGAAAAAGCACCCAAAATTTTTACGTAACCCCTGACCTGTGTAGGAGGCAATCTTGGGAGAAGATTGGCTCCGGAGCCAGAGGGCCCAGATTGAGTTTAATCCTACTGTGTTGGTGGTGAACGGCGAGAGAACGCCATTGGGATGCCCACCAGAGGAAGAGATAACCATAGTGGTGGAGGAAGATGTAAAGTTACCTCCTAGGACCGCATTGTCGGGAAAGGGTAGGCTAATGTCAGAAAAAAAGGTACGGAGAGGACCTTTGCAGTTGGTCCCTGTAGAAGGAAAGAGCCTAGAAGATAGCGAGGTAACCCTGTGCGAAACGGTAGTGGAGGCAGCCGAGTTGGTGCCCATAATGATGGTGAACCAGGCCCAAAAGACTATAAAGGTTAGGGAGAGGGGAGAAGATAGGGAGAGCGCTTCCCCTACGAACTCTGAATCGGGTGAGATTCGAGGAGGAACGAAGGAAGCTAGTAGAACAAACAAAAGGAATCTTAGATGAGGATATATTAGCACCGGATCAATTTAGAACCTGAGTGGGGGGGTCTGTTAAGGAACAATCGAGATGTGGTGGCCCCAGTCAGACAAGGAGCTAGGTCAGACCCACACAGTCGAAATGAAAATCGACACCGGAGACCACCCCCTGTGAAATTAAAACCCTACCGAACACCTATACATAAAAAAGACCCCTTTGTAGAAGAGGCAGTAGAGGAAATGTTGGAAGCTGGGATGATCGAAAGATCGATCTCTCCTTGAGCTTCCCAATAGTAATAGTAGGTAAGAAAGATGGCGGCCACCGTTTCTGTGTAGATTTTAGAAAGCTGAATTCTATATCGAAGCCGTTGGCGGTGCCATTGCCATTGATAGACGACATTTTGGCATTATTAGGGAGGCAAAGTACTTCTCTACGTTGGACTTGAGGTCCGGGTATTGGCAGGTAGCCCTGGATGAGGCTGACAAGGAGAAGGCCGCATTCGCGTGTCACCTGGGACTGTTTCAGTTCAGAGTGATGCCATTCGGTTTAGCTAATGCCCCGGGAGTCTTCCAACAGCTAATGTCAATAGTGTTAGGAGGATACGAGAGCTTTGCCATGGCGTATTTGGACGATATCTTGATATTTTCGGAGACAGTGGAACAACACTTTTTCATTTAAGACAGGTGTTGGGAAGGTTGAGGAAACACGGATTAAAGTTGAAATTGTCAAAGTGTCAGTTTCTGAGGGAAGAAACTAGGTATTTAGGCTTCGTCATAAACGGAGACGGTATTAAACCCGACATGGATAAGGTAAAGGTCATAAGGGAAATGCCAGAGCCTAAGACAGTGAGGCAGGTAAGAGGTTTTATAGGAGCTATAGGCTACTACCGGCGCTTCGTCCCGGCATTTTCAAGAATTGCCATACCGCTAGTGGCCCTGACGAAGAAATACGCTAGGTTCAAGTGGACAGAGGACTGTCAACGAGCATTTGATTCGCTAAAGGAACAGTTGACGACCGTTCCACTGCTGACGTATCCAGACCTCAGCAAGCCCATGATATTATACACGGATGCCAGTGAGCAGTGTGTAGGGGCAGTACTTACCCAGCCGTGTCCTGATAAGGAAGGACCAGTGCCAGGCATACCAGAGGAAGTACCGATATACTTCCTCTCCCCATAAGCTCTCAGAGACACAACAGAGGTGGCCAGTAATAGAGAGGGAAGCATATGCTATCATGTATGCTCTCCAAAACTGGACTACTATTTAAATGGTGCGGTCTTCACTATAAAGACAGACCACAAGCCTCTGCAGTACCTATTGCAGGCAGAGTGGACAAATAATAAGAAAATTCAACAGTGGGCACTTAAGTTAAGTGGCTACCACTGTAAGATAGAGTATTTGGCAGGAATTGGAAAACACGTGCGCAGATTTACTCTCAAGAATACCGAAACAACTGGAAGAAAGATCTGTAAGGGTAGAACAGGGAGTAGATGATAAAGCCTATAGAATAGGAGTAATTAACTCTAATAAGCTAAAAGATCGCCCTATATTAGAATCGGACGAAGAAGGGGACGCCCAGATAATAACCGATCCTTACTGGACAGAAGGAATTGAGAAGGAGCAAGCAGACAGTGAACTAGCTGCTCTGAGAGAGAAGGTGAAGTCAGGAGAGACCACCAAGTATGCC